ATTGCAAAGTAAATTAACATAAAATAACTTGTTAGAAACTTAAACATGAACTTTACAATTGCTGTTGCTAATGCTCACTTGTCTTACCTCTAGTCAGCCCAAGCTCACGAAATTTTTCGTGGTAAGAAGCTCACGTTTACCTTGTTGTTGACAACAGCCTTGACCACCTTACAGGTGACAGTGTGATTTAGTGCCCCCAGTTTTGATGGAGAACACCCCGGGGGGGGGAAGGTTCCAAGAGTCTCCCTCTTCCACTACCACAACCTCTCAAGAGAATTTTTGGCTTGCCGCATATTTAGAGTGCCCCCATGTCGCACGAACACTGTACATTTACAAACATGCATGCCTTCTTCGGGATTCGAACCTGGGCCCTTCGGCACAGAAGTTAGCTATGCAAACCACTATACAAGTTGGGCTGCCTACAACTATGTGACATTTATAAGAAGCCCTTAGATATAATTTAACTCAAAAAAGAAATTACGGACATATACATAAGGCAAATTAATTGTAGAATAGAAAATTGAACAATTTTACTGTGTTTGAATTGAATTGCTACGTTAGAGTGAATTGATGAGCTGGCAGCTAATGTACGCAGCAAGGAGGTGATGTGTGAATGAAGATTTCAAAATGGTAAGTGCTCATTTCTCAACTGTTACCTGAAAAGCAGAATAATTCTAGAAATTCACGTTAAGCAAGATGATTTGTTACGTTAGAACATTTAACGAACACATTTTAACCTGCGAAGAGGAATTTTTGTAACCCCAAAATTAGGATAACGTTTAAGTTCTAGTTGGTTATTATATACGCTGCATTTTGCCTTGTATAATTACCAGGCGTTAACTCACCGATTTCACTAATAGCATATACGTCCATTTACTAAAATTATTTTGTAATATAATAAAAGATGGTTATACGCGTATATATTAATGTCAAAGTAATTAAGTTACTGGTAACGTTGAATAAGCATATTCTTAAATTAAAAGTCATTCCTCACTGGCAGAAATTCTTCAAGAATTAAATTTTTAGAAATATTACTTAAAGAGCACAAACCGCATTTGGGTAACTTTTTTTCACAAAATTTTACAAAACCGGTTAGTTTAAAAAATTGTGCAAATAAATTCAGGAACAATTTAAAGAAATTGAGCATATAACTACAATTGAGATATAATAAGTACTATTAATTCCGCTGCGTTAAACTGCTGTAATTTATTAATTATATAACAATTTCATTAGTCAGAAAAATAGAGGAAACGAATTTCTATGCCAAAGCAAAGACCAAAATTACATGTAATGTATGGCATTAGAAACATCTTATATTGCATCTATTGCAACACTGGACAAAATAACTGTCAGAATTTTCAATAGAATATATTTCAAAAAATGTATTATAAATTACATAATTTTGATACATTATTAAAACAACTGGAGTTGTAAACTATTAAGAAGTATGTTTATTGATTTTAAATCTTTCAGTTTGTTTGAAAAACAAATTTGAGATCTTTTTATCGTGTGCAATGATATTTCCCAGGTCGCTTGAGAAAAAAACAGCTGAAGTCAGTACCGATCGCTTCGGGAGGCAGAATTTAGAGGTAAAAAAAAAAAAAAAAAAAATTTTTAGAATTTAAAAGAGTAACGTGAAGAAAAATTTATGGAGGGCAAAAATTTTACAATTTAAGCGAGGCATTGGGAAGCAGAATTAAAAAGTGGCACAAATTTTTGAATTTATTAAGGTACCGGATAGCAGAATTCAGGATTCGCAGACTGCACCCGGGGGCGAAATGCTTAGGGCCTGCTCTGATGATAAATGTCGTGGCAGCACAACGTCAAAAACTGTAAGGTTTCACAAAACAGAATATTGGGTAATTTATTTTAAAAATTAAGATTAAAGGAGAGATGCACACTGCTAGCCATCCAAAATGCAATACCACGAAAAGCAAAGAGATTTCACAGCCATATTTACTGGTCAAATAATAAGAATAATGAACTGATTAAAAATAGAACTCCATTTGACTTGCAGAACACCAAGAAATCAGTGCTTTGTGTAGCGGCCATAACTTACAATAATTGCTGCGATATGTTTCGGCATTGAAATAAAGAGGTTTGAGATGTGCGTTTTGATTATGCCAGTTCATGCTGTTTCCACGCATTGCTGGAATACTCGTCTGCCAGTCATAAATAATACGTATTTCACAGGCAATATATCGGAAAAGCGGGAGGACCAAACCGCAGTTCTACCTCGTGTGCTATATAGAATTGTTAAACGTTGCGTGCCACGGACAAGCGCGTGTTCTTCTCTTAAAAGTTTGGTCTCAGACGATCTTTGAAGGTAAAGGCGAACAACAGGCTTCAAAATTTCAAAACAATAATGGTTATTCAGTGTGTCGACAATGCGTATTAAATGACTGCAAAAATAAAATCCAAAACATAATTGTAAGTTATGGACTCTTATAATGATGCATAATGCAAGGGTTATCACATCCGGTCATCATAGTGCAGCCAGACTCGGATATGGCTAGTATGGTGGTTTGGGCAGAATCGAGATTCATCAATAATGTCGTGACATTCGTTTGTCCATGTCTGGCATTTAACCACTACTGTAATTGCATATGCCTATGTAGTAGTGCCAATGTTAATCACAGAAACGGACACCCTGCAAAGATTTGCCTTCTTTGCAGACAGCGTCAAATGATATGTGTTGATAGTCTGTGGTACAATAAACCCTGATTTTTGAGCTAGTGTTTTTAATATTTCTCTGCGATCCAGCAATTTCTGTGAGAACAACATGACTCTTCTCGTTGCGGTGGTGTGAAGAGACTGGTGGAATCACTGTTGTCGGTCGGTCTATCCTTCCTGAACTGATCCATTCCATATTCCATTGTTTCTTGATTTTGACAAGCACGAGCTCAAATTTCTCATAAGGATAATCTGCAGTTACTATAAGCTACGGTTCTTTCTCTGTAAAATTCAGAAACTTGCTTGAATGATTGTTCATTTTTTTCATTGAGAGGTCCGGAGCTTCTCAAAGGAAAAGCAGGAAAACACACATTTCCTTTATTTAAAAAAAAAAAAAAAAAAAAAAAAAATTATTGTTTTCCCAGTACTTCTAGATGATGTTACTGTCGCACCATATGTATCTAATATGCGATGCATTGTTTCAATGCTTTGCGTCAAATATGTAATCCTATATGTTCTGTTAAGGTCTACATACATTAAATTTAAGGCAAATTTTCGTTTTACGTAATTTTTTTCCGACAGAGCTTTGAGGAAAGATGACATATAGTTATTTTCATGAATGTTTGTTCACATATTATGACAGTTTATTATTTAACTAAATTTAAGGAGTAAAGACATTGACATTCATTCTTATAATCGAACTATATTTTGCCATATATTTAAGTTTGTTAGTGAAAACAATAAGCTAAAATTTCCGACAAATGTTAGTTTCATTGTTTGATAATTGTTAATCACGTATTCTCAGGATAAATTGTATTATAAATAAATAAACTAATTATTACATTAAATTGCTGTATTACTTTATCATCATTTATGAGCATCATGTCATTAAATGCTTTTTAATAATAGGTTACTATTTTATAATTCTAATAATAATAATAAAAATATTATTTAGCCGAATAGAAGCTGTTACGATCATGCTCATAATTTCGGCAGCTGTAAAGAAAATCAAAATGTATTTTCAATTACTGATTATATTATCTTTAAATTTTATTTATTTTTGGCTTCAGCAATATCAGGTTACTTTCAAAATCAGCCAAACTTTTGTCACATATTTATCTTCTTGCGCAAGAACGCAACGAGATAACTCATTTCTTGTCTATAGTAAAGTTTTGATCCATCAGCTGGTGTTTGCATTATTAAGAAACAAATAATAAAACAAACCCATAGAAAATATTTCATTTATAGATATATGTAGAACTAAAATTATATTAATACACCCTTTTCTTTCCGTCACGATATAAAAAACAATTAAAGCTTCAGATACCTTTAAATAGACCATAAAGGAAGTTTTTCTTTGTGTTTCCACATTACAGTTTATTTTCTTACAAGGATTTTAAAAGAAACTTTATGCAAAAATTTTATCTATAACTAAAATTACAATAAAAACTAATTGGAAACTTTTGTCATTTAAAAAACCGCAATTTCATAGAAATATACAGTTACACATGATAAGTTAGCTAATTAGAATATCTATCTACACACTTCTAAACAGTTATAAAATAAGTTATAAGGTACAATTTCATTTTTCAATTAAGATTCAAATTAATTTGATTTTCTACTTGCGGGCAACTTCTAACATAAGAACTTTTTTAAAGAATAATTAATTTTTTAATCATATGAAATTTTCGACTCTTCACTTTTCATCGTCTCAACTAAAATTATGATAGATACGTATGCAATATTATTTAAATATATAATCATGCATAATCGCAAACTTTAATTTAAAAACATATTTTTGTATTTATTTATTTACTTATATTCGGAAAATAATATACACTTACAGGATTTGGAGATTAAGTTATCATTTTTCAAAACTCAAAACTAATTTTCCTACTGGTGTTCATAATTTCTTTGAAACTGTCAAATTTCTTTAAGACTGTCAAAATTTCAAGAAATTCTGAACATTTACATAAATCCTATATGAGTATAAAATGACCGGTTAGTACACATTTCGTTTAAAACCTTTAGGAATTTACGCTTAATTTTATGTTAAAAAAATAATTGATTTATGTCTCAAATTTTATGGTTCATGATAATGTGACTCTATCATTTATAAAGTATGTCATTTTAATTTGTACATTACGAGCAGCAAATGCAATATTAAGGGTATTAAATTAGGTAAACAATGTTTCACGATAATAAAACACTTAGTTATAAATATATTGAGCTTTAAAATGTATTCTGCCTTTGATATAATTTGATATATGTATTGAACTAAAACGGTGAAAATTATATGGATATAAAAATATATATATATATTTATTTTATATCGATTATTTATACTACATTTAGTGAATTTGATTGATTGATTACTTTTGATGATGTCTCATATTAATTCAATAAACATAAATGAAGTTTTCAAAATTTAAGAAAAAACTTTCTCAAAATATTCCTCCCGTTATTTTGAGAATTTTGTTTTTCTGTGCGTAATTATTTTTTCGTACTTCATTTGTAGCTACTTAGTTACTGGCTTTAGAGATTAACGCCGAATTTACACTTTTAGCTGTCTGCTTCATTTTGTTCATTATGATTGTCGCATTTCGCATAGCGAGTTTACCCCTCTGCTTTGGCAACAAGAGCTCAATAGCGGTTTTAACATCATTAGTAGTCAGTGTTTTAGATTTCCTGGAACTGGCCAGTTTGCCTGCTGTATTCGCAATAACTTCAAACACAGCTCTTATGATATCAGCAGCTTGTGTTCTCATCTCTTTAGATACTACCAGATTAGGTGTCACTACTGGAACCAAATTCTTAATGATTTCCATGAAAGCACAGTTTTTAATCTGGGCTTGTATTTCCGTTGTGGTTACTTTACAAAATGCACTTCGTCGAACTTTTGAGGGAGAGAAGGACAGGGCTCGCTTAGTCAAATCCTGATCTGTTTCTTTCTCAAAATTCAGTAACTTACTTCTCGCTAATGTGTGTGGTGTTCTAGATATTCCTTTTGCCATTGTAATTATGCTGGAACCTTTATAAGCTGATGCATTTTCATAATTTCGTCTTTCATAGGGATAAAAATCTGTAAGAAATATGTTTAAATTAAGAAGGCACAGTAAACATTCTTTAATTTTTAAGCAGAAATGAAGATTCACATTATGATACAAACATTTTTGGAAACATAAAGAGATGGCTTAATGTTCAAATACATTAAGCCATCTAATAAAAAACAATAAACTATCTAAATTTGGCGACGCCAAGTGCAGAACGCCGCGCACAGTAATAAAATTATAACGTCGCCTAACATTAGCAGCACGATATTGGTTACCAACTCGGAGGATGTAATCTATATCCACTAATGGTGGGCAGAATACAAACATCAAAAATGCAGACGCTAGATGTATATACATACGGTTAGATTATTTACACATGAATAACTAGAGATACTAAACATATTAAATAAGTGAGCTACTAAATAAAGTATATATGTATGTGGCTCGGTGTCGAGGGGATCTTCTGTTAGTAGAAAGAAGAGACGAATATACGTTACTAAATTATTTAATAGAATTATTTGTGATGCACACTGATGGCTACGGATATTTACAATGAAATATTAACAGATGAAAGTTGACAATGGAGATACTACGTCTTTAAGTCGTCATTATTCTTTCACTTCTATCTCTTAATTAAAGCTCCCACTTATCTTCTATCCCATCATCGTCTTGTCCCGCGCTCTGTCAAGTCGTGTCGCAAACCTGATACCTATGTTCGGGCATCCTGATGCGACAGGTCCACCTGGCGACGATGGATATACAACAAAATCTGAAATAAGTAAATTAAAGAAAAGGAAACATTCCTCTGTGTTCGGCTTAATCGTCTTGAGGAAGGAAACAAAAGAAATGTCTTTTCTCAAGACCGCTTAAATGCTCAAACACCTTAAGGAGCATGTTTGGAACATCTTGGCGAGGAAAAAAAATTAATTTCCTAATAAATCTTGTATATATATATATATATAGCGTTGAAATGGTCACCAACTTTAAACACGGTTGGTTGTTTACAGGCTTATCATAGCAACGAATGTTTCCTTATAGGGTGAACTGAAAATGTTCTTCTTCAAGTATTTGTGTAATTCTGATATCTTTATTTTTCATCTTAATGCTAAAATGTAGCTCAAAGGGTGTAAAATTGGTAGTTTGAGATGTAGTGCTATTGATAATTCTTTGCACAAAGAAAACGTGCTTAAACTGCTTTTCAGGATCTTGCAAGGAGAACTTGGTTAAGACGAGAATCAAATAAAGTGCATGCGTTCAATTTATGTGTGAGGTTGTAAGGATCTTAAGTTTTACTAACGTTTATTTTATTTTAAATCTTTACTATCACTTCTTATTTTCTACTTCCGGTCAGAATTAAAAGCTTTAACATATTCATGCAAATTTGTCTGGCGAACGCCAAGTACTTAAGTTGTGGCTTTTTGCCAAGCGAGAGAGAGGAAGGAGTTAGTAGAAGCAGGCCGCTTGCCTTAGCAGTTTTACTCGGTTGCTGGTTGCCTTCCAGGCCAGAGGTTTAATCCTCTTAATAATTTTAAACGTATTGTAGTGTTAACAGTTCTCTGTACTACATACGGCTTCCTGTTAATATGCGGCCAATCTTCCACGTAGGCCCTTGTTTGTTATTCCAAAGTTAAAATAGAGTTTAGTTAATATTTTTATACTCTTACGTTCTGAAAACACAAGTGGTTGGTCTCTGTATTCCGAAGTCCGGAAATTATTGTAAAGAGTGAAAAATAAAGGGTTTCGTATACCCTTCCTGTGTATCTTGTCTACTTCCCACATTTATTGAACATAGCTTTAGTAAGCTCCCTGTTCCGAGTCAGGTTCTTGAATGTTCCCAAAGAAGTAAGGAGAAACACTTGAACCTGATAGTGGCGCCCGAACGAAGAAGAATAACCATGGCCGAGTTTCAAGAAGAACCTGTGCTGCCTGCAGAAACGGCTCAGAATCCAGAAATGCCAGCTGCCGCCCTGGAAGGATTTGGTTACATCGTCCAGACCATGCGCGCTTCGATGAAACCAGAAGCAACATTTAATGGAAACTCACCGGTAACCAGTTTTTTGGAAAAATTGGATGACCACTTCATGCTATATCCCGTGCACGAGTTTCCAAAAAGTTACCTTAGCTACCAGCGCTTTGAGGGGCCAAGCGCTTAATTGGTTCAAATGTATAGGCAGAAGTCTCTTGGGTCAAGCAGGAAGTCCCACCTATACTTACGAAAATTTCAAGACTGCCTTAGTAAAAGCCTTCCCTGTCGTAAGGGATCGTGCGAAATTAGAAGCGGAACTTTTCAGCATATATCCAGAAAAGAATCGAAAATCTCTCAAGCTTTATTTTAAGAAAAATTCACGTCTTCAAACTCTTGTATGGAAACCGTCCGGATCCTGAGATAATTCAAGTGATTTTGCCGAGGTTACTTCCCCAAGTACAAGACTTTATTGAATTAAGGAATCCGACTACACTGGAAAAGTTATTTGAGCTAGCAATCCAGTTTGAAAGTAGAAGAACGGCGGACATTGAAAGAAGACGCCAATATCAACAACGAAACCAATTTGGTGAGCCAAGACCACAGCAAAGTCAAGCACACGGCTACGGAAGCAAAGCGAATCAGTGGGCAAGGAAACCCGAGCATCCAAAAACAGCCGGCGAACGTCGACAGTTCAATAGCAATCCAGGAAAAAAGTCTCAAGGCCAGTGGAAAAAGAAGGAAAGCATGGAAAGAAAAAAAAAAGATTTAAACTAAAACGGATTTCTGCTGACGGGAGGGTGCGGAAATCCGAAGGCCAAGAAAACCCCTCTTCCTTCAAGTTAAATACAGTAATGGTGAAAAATTTGACTCTTCCGAAGATTGAAGTGTTGGTGAATAATATCCCAGCCACCGCACTCCTGGATACAGGCGCGCAGTGTTCCTGTGTGGCAGAAGATTTTTTTAGGAAGTATTTTCGGAAAATATCCGCATATATAATTCGGATAATACGACAGTGTTAGCTGCGCAAGGAGAAAGATGCAAGTGCATAGGTAAATTACCGCTATACGTTCCGTATCAAGGACGAACAAGTAAAGGTTATGTTTTTTATAGTAAAGAATCTGCAAGCACATATTATCTTAGGGAATAGATTTTCTTTCAGAGGCAGAAGCAAAGCAACGCTGGATTTTAATGAAGCGTCCCTTAAGCTGACGATGAAACCAGTTCGAGAAGAAAAAAAAAACGGAACCGCCAATGTTAAACCTTGACCACCTGCCTAAGGAAGAGCAACAAAAGAATCCGACAAGTGGTAAGTGAATTTGCTTCGTTATTTAGTGATATTCCAGGATTTACTCAAGTTACTAACCATAGTATCGACACCGGAGATTCAATGCCAGTTCGCCACAAAGCATACCGGTATGATAAGAATAAAGAAAAAATTATAGAATGGCACATTAGGGATATGTTACGTAAAAAGATCATAACGCCCATCTCAAGTAGTTATGCTAGCCCGTGGTTTTTTATGTAAGAAAAACAATGACTATCCATTAACACATCCAAAAAGGTGGCGTTTCGCGATTGACTATCGTAAATTAAACTCCATAACTAAATATCCGGTATATCCGTTACCTATTATTGAAGAAATTCTAAGGAACATAACGTCTACCAAATATATGACGACTTTAGACTTAACGACTGGTTATTTTCAAATAGGGGTTAGACCGAGACGCGTGCCTAAGACTGCTTTTATAACCAAGTCTGGCACTTATGCATTCCTGCGTATGCCGTTTGGCCTTTCAGGGGCACCGGCAACATTTCAGCGATGTATGGACATTGTGCTAAGGCCTGTTCTTGGAAAGTCCACATTTATCTATTTAGACGATATCATTATTACTAGTGATAATCTGGACCAACATGTACAGGATTTAAGACAGGTGTTTTCATTATTAAATGAGGCCGGTCTAAAAGTTAATGTCGAAAAGTGCAAATTTGCAGCCCCTGAATTAAAATACTTTAGGTTACAAAATATCTCAGAAAGGAATCGAGACAGACGAATCAAAAATAATCGCTGTGCAAAAGTATCCGCCGCCAAATACGGCGAAGAAGCTCTCTTCTTTTCTAGGACTTTGTTCATATTATAGGTCCTTTATAAAAGATTTTGCAGCTATTGCTGAACCATTGTTAAAATTAAAAAGGAAAAAGGCAAGATTCTCGTGGACGGCCGAAGCCAATAGTGCTTTCGAAAAATTAAAGCAAGCATTAACGCAAGCCCCTGTGTTGAAATTTCCTGAAAAGGATGAGAATTTAGAAATTTCAGCGGATGCTTCGGATTATGCGGTAGGAGCGGTACTTTCGCAAAATCAGCAGCCCGTGGCATTTTTTAGTCGAACTTTAAATCAAACACAAAAGAAATTATTCCGCGACCGAGAGAGAGGCACTTGCAGTTCTGTTAGCAGTGCAAAAGTTCCGAGTCTATTTTGGAAAGGGCGCCAATAACAGTGTATTCTGATCATGCGGCGGTAACTAGATTGTACTCAGGGAAAAACTTATCCCCAAGGTTAATAAGATGGGCACTCAAGTTACAAGAATATAATCTGGTAATCAAGCACAACCCCGGGAAAGGAAAATATCGTAGCAGATGCCCTATCCAGAATAAAAATAGATGAAGAAGGTAATACTGTAAAGGTGGCAATGCTCACAGCATGTACAATAAATTCCCGAGAAACTGTAATAACCGAACTGGGTAAGGATCCTGAGTTTGGAAAACATTTATGAGTATTTAAAGGATCCTGAAAATTTTAGCCACCAAGATATTGTGGCGATAAGAAATAGGGCGGCCCATTACGAACTAATAGATGGTCTATTATTTTATACAAAAAACTACGAATTCCAACAACGAATTTCGACCTGTTATCCCAGCTAGTCTTAGATTAAATATCCTGCAGGAGTTATACGACAGCCCCTTTAGCTTCTCATGCTGGTATTCGAAAAACTATCCAACGCGTACGCGAGGCAGTCTATTTTCCTGAACTGCAAAAGTTAACAAGGGCGTATGTCCAGTCCTGC